CGTTCTTCACTCCAGGACTAAACACATAGAAATTAGGCATCACTTCATACGAGATCACGTCCAAAAGGGAGATGTCACAATTGAGTTTGTTGAAACGAAACATCAATTGGCCGACATTTTCACGAAACCCCTTAGTAGGGAGAGTTTCTTCCACATTCGGAACGAACTTGGCATTTTGGATATCTCTATGAACTAATTCATTTTTGACTATACTAATTTGAGCGTCGGAGGCGCGATAAATTCTTTTTTGCAGGGCTTTTATTGTAGGTATCTCTTCCCTTGGTATTCAACCTAATTGGACTTGATATTTTTTTCTGTCAAACAAATTTTAATCGATTACTCCTCGAAGAGAAATCGATTAGTCGCCTCTGTCCCTCTTAATCGATTACTTGACTTTTGTTAATCGATTAAAATCCGAAACTTTTTGCTCTGCGTCACTTTAATAGATTAATTTGGTTACATTAATCGATTAGACTCATCTGTCCATCGTAATCGATTAATCACATTTGCTTAATCGATTAATAGCTTGCAACGCAAACGTTTGGTCTTAATTTTTAATCGATTAAAATTCTTCATATAATCGATTTTGCCTCGGCTGCATTCCTTAATCGATTAAATACCTTTATTTAATCAATTAATATTCGATTTTTTCTTCTCTTTATAATCCGCCAGTGCCTTCGTCTTCATCGCCATCCCAGTTTTACAGAGAAACTGCGAAACCCTAGCTCAAACCCTTGCTCAAACTTCATCAGAAATTTCTCAAATTTGTTCCATTTTTTTACCAAAATTCATCAATTACAAAAAGGAAGAATTCCAAGGTGTAAGAACGCTTCCTCGGGTCAAGAAACCACGGCAGAGGAAAATGAGAGGCCATGGCGTCGTGAAGGGAGCAAGTATATTCACATTCAAACGGGTCTCGCCTTCAACACTGGAGCTTCAGTCGAGAGGTTCCACAACATCTTCCTCACGAAGGAGATCGTCTCTCCCAAGATCGTGAACAAGGACCTCTTCAAATCGGCGACCTATGCCCCGAGTAAGTCTATGTTCTTTCAGCAAGGATTGCTTCGTTTCATTCATTTGACGTATGAATTTTTCTGTCCAAATCTTATACGTCAATTTTATGCAAATCTTCGTACCACTAAGGGAGGTTCGCCATCTCTCATTTCCTATGTTGAAGGCAAAACCGTTTTTATTGACGGTGCCGGTTTGACTTCTTTGTTTGGCCTTCGTCACGGTGAAGTTACCGAAAACTTGGATGAAACATTCCAAGATGAGGCAATATGGCGACAACTCGGGTTAGATCATCGTGACCTCAAGTTTAGAAACTCTAGCAACCCGAGTGTCGTTAATCTCACTTTAATTCAACGCGTCCAACAATACATTTTCTCATATGTTTTGTTGCCCCGTGATTCGAACCATGGCGTCGTCAACAAGGACGATATTCGTTTGTTTCACGTCCTGTTGAACGATGTCAAATTTGATTGGGTTCACTTCTTTATCGTTGCACTTAGCGATGGCACTCGCTTTTCCCATCTCCGTTTTGCCATCCCCATTATGCATATCCTTGCTCATTGCAAAGTAGACCTTACTCGGGACACTCAGGTGCCGGTTAAGAAGACGTGTTTCATCACTGAAGCCAAGTTTTCCCGGATCGTGTATCGAGAGGAGGGCGATGCTGCACCAAATCTGGAATTGATCGTCGCCGAAGAAGAAGAAGAAAGCCAAAACGAGAATCAAGCTGAGTCATCTCAAGCCGGAGGTAGTCGAGCCACGGAGCGCGTCACTCGTCAACGGAGGACTCGTCCGAGAGAAGAAGCACCGGAACCATCTTGGGTGAAGAAGATCTTCGATACTCTCATGTGCATCCGAGATGACGTTCGCCAGCTCAACGAGAGGATGACTCGTCTTGAGCAATCTCGCTCCTACCGTGGCCCGCGTCACAGCTTCAGCGGAGGAGCTTGTCCGGCGAACTCTCTTTGATTATTTTCTCTTCCATCTTAACTTTTTTATGATACATTGTTATTGGCTATTACTATTATAACTCTTTTGGTGAATGATATTGTTGCTAATATGGTTCTCTTTTAGAACATTTTGACTCTTTGAGGCAATTCGTGTTAGAAGCTCTTTTGAAAACTCTTACAATTTTTTCCTTCAAAATCCCGGCATCAATTAAGGGGGAAGGTTGTCGGTTGATAATGCCAAAAGGGGGAAGGAAGAATCGTTGAGAAAACTTGTTTTTCAAAATTGTTTTTCCGCTTATTACTCCGATTATTTTTGTTGCACTTCTCTAACCTTGCAGGGGGAATCATTTAAGGGAAGTATTCTTTTCTTTTCTTTTTCTCAACTATGTTTGTCATTATCAAAAAGGGGGAAATTGTTGGACATGAGTTCAAACCCCTTTATTATTATTCTGGAATATTTTTTGTTTTGATAAATGACAAACAAGATGATGAAATTCAACGGCGATCGAAAATTTACTTTTCGTACCGAGAAAAGAAAAGAGGCGTATCAAGAAAGTTACGGGATAAAAATCAACGCTCACCCCCACGCAGTTTTTTGAAGTGATGTGAAGACTCCGAAGACTTTTTAATTTTTAATGAGTCTAGGATTCTTGTAAGGATGACAATATCTTTTGCACAAAACAATTTAATTTCTGAGGGATAAAAAAATTATTTTTGAGGAGTCAGTTGAAAAATCACTTTTCCTCTGTCTAAAATATTTTTTGTGAGTCAGTTCCAAAATTAGTGTGTCAAAATTTCGTTAAAACATTTTTAAGATTACACAATTTTCTTTGGTGAGAAAAATATACTTTAAATATTTTTTCATGTATTGTTTGACACACAAAATAATTTTTTGGGACTCTCCTTTTCTCTCCCCTACTCAAATTCATTGAATAGGGAGATATAATCGTAGGAGCGCCTTGTTATTCTCGTTGTCCCAAACAACGAGTTAGAAGCCAAAGTGCTTCCAATCGCACTTGGCTTGGGCCCTTTGTGTTTGCGCATTATTTTCATTTTAATCGAT